GGTAAAATTTTGGCACCGGAACTTGCTTGGTTGCCGAGTTGGAAAACCCGAACAGACAGACAGACAGACAGACACACATACACACACATGAAAAAACATACACACACATCGGGGTCGTCACAATACGCGTTTTTGCACATGCATACATGTAAAAAAGCATAATAATACGTAAAGAAGGGAAATTAATCGCTTATCACAGCTAAAGATAACACGGAGAGGACAGTGCTTTAGAGCAAACTTAAAAACGCCCGACGTTGGTATAAAAAAGAGACAAGAGGACAGACATGAACCGGTACATAAATGCGATATCTTCGAAAACGCACACACACAAAAGACTGTCTCAAAAACAATGCATAGAATTCCTCTGGCAGTATGCCAAAAAACCAGAAAAAAAATTTTTCAAAGATTTAGAAGAGACTTTTACAGCAGCAACAAGTAAATCTCTGCAGTAATGCGTAAAAATATAGTTTAAACACGATGCACATCTTATCAGTTTATAATCATAACAACAGTTGGCTAACAAATTCAACAATAGTACCTCATAACAGCTTCACCAAAGGAAGCCACCACTTGACTGACCATTGATCCTTCTCAGCGCACCTTTTGGCAGTTTATCGAAAATGAGAAAACCGGCAGAGCGCTCGATGCTATTCACTGGTACCAAAAAAGTACTTAAAGGAGTATTATCGGGTATCACCTGAAATTATGCCTTCTCAATATGCACCAGAATGAAAACAGAAATAAAATAGCTTAATTGTGGATATTTTTTTTTGTTGAAATCAAAGAATTTGCCCAATAAGCTCATCTCTTCCAGTCAATGCCTTCTGTTAACTGACAATTAGTTTAAAAATGAAATTAGATAACAGATACACTGTTAATGTCTATTTTAGTAAAATCGTTTCATACTAAAATCTAACGATTAAAACAGCGTCGCGATAAATAATGATAATAACTACAATAGCAATAATGATAACAATAATAATAATAACAATAATAATAATAATAGCAATAATAACAATAATAATAGTGACGACAATAATAATTATAATAACAACAAAAAAAATCTCTAGCTAAAACAAACAAAGGCTGCTATAGCTAACTTACAATAATTAGTGTGTAATGTTTCAAAATGGATTTATGAAAATCGATTACAAAATTAGATAACTTACTGCATTAGGCAAAATATACGACTCCAGGTCAAATTTTCCATCGTCAACCTCAATAAGCACAACCTGGAAGCAAAATTTTCCATAATACAATCAAAAATTATGGCAATTTTTTGTTGACATTTTTGCGAATTTTTTGGATCTTAGAAATCGAAAAATTTCTTGATTGTTGAGTTCCAAAAGTCCGCAGAAATTCCACACCCGTTGAGCTCTATGTAGAGCAACAAAATAAGCACATACTTCGAGATCGAAATCCAAATAATTATAGTAAAAAGATCAGTCTTTCCAATAATCAAATTCTCTGTTTATTCGAAAAAAAGAACAGTTGAAGGTGCACTAAATTCAACTTTCACTTCTCTGCCCAGCAAAATCACGTTTCTAGTAGCACAGGCTGTCTGGAGGAGATCATTTACTTAAAGACTGAAAAGTTTCATAGTCCATAAGAAAGGCTGAAAAGCTGCCAGATAACCGACTACCATCAACCAGTGCCTCGGCAATTTGGCGGGAAACGATTTCGCGAACCAGGCAAGGTAAAACGCTGAAACTTTTTAGGGATATTCTCTGTGCATATGCGAGCTAAGGATTTCAAATCCAGCTGTCGCGGACGCTTGCGCAGCGCGTACGACCACGTTAAAGCTTGCACTTGGCTCTCAATGATACAGCTGGTAATTTTTATGCGTTTTTTGCAGCTATGTAATGCATAAAACGCATACTGACGAGAGGTTGTCTGTGTGTGTCTGTGTGTTCGTCTGTACCGATTTTTCATCT